AGGGATATCGTTTCTTGGCGAAGTTTTAACTCAGACATAAGATGTTTAACTTTAATTTGTGACTTTTTATCCTTTAATTCAATACGACCACATAAAAAAATGGGGTATATATCGATGCCAGGATCTGAGTTATCAGTAAACTTATAAAGTTTGCAAACTTCAGAAAAAGTCCACTTGGAAACGGTTTTGATGGAGGTTCGATTAGAACTATGAATTTAGGTTTATTTTTTGCTAAAAGAACTCTTAGCATTTCTTTAAATCGTCATCTCTAGGTTTGTATACATCGGCGCTATTAACGAAATGAAATGTTACTGCTAGATTTTTTGGTGTAACAAAAACTTCAAAATCTGTCTCATAAAAAATATTTAGGTTAGTAAAGGTTGAAAATAAAATATTATGAACCTATATCACAAATTATACCACGAAAACATACCATGCGCAAACTTGCTAAGTTGCTCTTGTAACACACTTATTTGTTCTTGTAAGTCTGATATCTTTTTATTTAAAGCTTCAATAGAATCAAACCTTCGTTTTGAAGTTTGTAGGCACTGATTTTCCTTATTATCTGTCTATAATAAAAAAATCTTGTTAATGTCAATAACATTAAGTAGCAACATTTTTCTTAATCATACCTATACTTGCTAGCAAAATAGCAAAACCCGGACAAATTCAAAAAAAAAAAACAATTGCTATTTATAAAAAATTGAATCAAAAAAATAGTCTTGAAATTTTGCTAATATATTATATGTAACTATAAGAATATATGATATTTGTTTGAATAAGAATTATTAATAAAAATTTTGAAATATGAATTTGACCAGAGTTTGGAATTTGGGCGCGGACAAACTAATTTTATAATAGTTTGGGATTTTGCCAACAAGTATAATCATACTCAACAAATAAAGAACATAACCATTTTCTCCTTTAAAAACAGCGGGCTCTATTTTTACTTAAGTCACCTTTGTGTTCATAAATCAAAACACTCTTGCTATTGGGCTTCTTCGAGTAGCCAATCCTGCGTTAGCCACCTTAGCAGCGTCACAAAGACCATAAAATCAATTGCGCTCATAGATTGTCCGCCCTCCACTATAGCTTAAATGCTTGATCCTGAAAAACCACATTGCAGTGGTATCACAAAAGCAACCTAAGGTATGAGTATTACAAATTTTATAATAGTTTGGGATTTTGCCAACAAGTATAATCATACTCAGCAAATAAAAAACATAACCATTTTCTCCTTTAAAAACAGCGGGCTCTATTTTTACTTAAGTCACCTTTGTGTCATAAATCAAACCACTCTTGCTATTAGCTTCTTCGAGTGGTCAATCCTGCGTTAGCCACCGTAGCAGCGTCACAAAGACCATAAAATCAATTGTGCTCATAGATTGTCCGCCCTCCACTATAGCAAAGCAACCTAAGGTATGAGTATTACAAATTATAATCAATTACTTACAGGATTTGTTTTTCGTTTAGCATGTTTTTTACGCAATCCATGACAACTCAGAAAACACGTAAAATTAGCGTTCTATTTATTGGTACATCAGTGGTACATCTTAGCACATGATATTGCACAGACGCGTAAATATGCATGTTCTGTTACACTAAAGTACCGAATTTAGATACGCGTGAGGACAGACAAAATTTCCAAATTACGTTATTGATATGTTGATCATGATAAATTATATTGATATATCAAAAAAGAAACTTTTCATGATCTACAACGCATCAAAAACATAACTTTTGTATCACAAGGCGCGTAAAAATTAAGTGTCCATCGCAATGCTTTTTCAAAATTCATAGATCATTTCTAGAACATGATTCGAATTGTGATTGGCATTTAATAATCCTCTTATAGCAAAGATTCACAATATTTCTATATTTCATCGATATAATACATAACCAATACGTAACGATATGTTGCCAATAGTGATCGATCAAAATTTTTTCATATCGGCCGATTTGTGGAATTTGATAAATAGAAAAACCAATCTGTCATAGCTCTGGTCAAATTTGCAGATCATTTGACCAAATTTGAATTTGTTTGACTTAAATCTGACGAAATTATCTGTAAATTTGACCAGGCCGATATGATTACTTTTTTATGAAATGCTATTGAAGAAAAATATGTGTTATCTTTATAAAACTTAAACACAAGCAATATATGTAAATTTATTGATGGTTAAAGCAAAAATATTTTATCTTATTATATTTCACGAACGACAATTAAATTTTTTTTTTTTCATATGCATCATATAAAACTAGGCGAACCCCATGAATTTTTTAAATAAAGATTGATTAAATCAAGCATTGCATTAAAATAATAAAATCAAACTGATACATCTTTAAAAAAAATGAAAATGAAAATGATTAGGAAATCAAAATACTTTTTATAAATCACCATCCTTTACAGTCATTTTTATTATTATTATTTTTTTTAACGACGTAAATTAATAATAATAATAATGAATCAAAGCGTTATCATGTTAATAATTTTAATGAAGTGGTCGCTAGTTCTTGCATTTCCTTTTGAAGAAATATGTCCAAGACAGACCTCGGTAATCTTACCTCCAATTTGCCCAACAGAATGTCTAGAAGAATGCCCCGCCCCAGTAATCTTGCCGGAGATTTGTCCAGCAGAATGTCCAGAAGAATACTCCACTCCAGTAATCTTGCCCGAGGTTTGTTCAGAAGAATGCATCGCCCCAGTAATCCAGTCCACGGCTTTTCCAGCAGAATGTTTATGCCCAGTAATCCAGCCAGCACCTTGTCCGGCAGGATGTCCTATACCAAAAATGATTTCTGGAACATGTTCTTCGAATAATGAAATTCAAATAGCTTCAAAAGAATCACATGATTTAGAAGAATGCTATGATCAAGTACAACAACTAGAAATACTTGGTCAAAAAGAAAATAATTTTAATGTAATTCTTCGTCGAGATCCTTTGCTTATAGATCTATGTGATGATTTAGAATCAGATAATATGTGTGCAAGTAAGTAATAATAAATTCATAAAAACAATATTTAATAAATAAATTAATAGATTAAAAATAAAATTGATAAAGATGACTTTGAGCAAAATTTTGAAAGTAGTTGCGACGTGCAGGAGGAAGAACAATGCTCGAAAGGACATCAATCGAGTTTCATACATACGGGTACACCTATAACTACAGGATGTTATTGCTCACCTCAAGACAATGCAGTATTTGAAACCGAATTACCAATTGGAGAATTGTTAAAACGAAGAATAAGAAAGTTTCGCCTAGTGAGACGACAAGCAATTACGCCGCCTTGCATGTACACGGAAGATTGTAATTTAGAACATGATGAAGCAAATGCTCATGGTTATCAAGAAGATTACGAAGACATATTAGGAAGTCAAAACGAAGGTTTCACGAACTGTGACATCGAAACAGGATTAACATACGGGGATTATTGCAATTAAGCCAAAAAGAACATACCAATATATGTATAATAAAAAAAAAATACACATAAACGTTAATAATTAATTTTTTTAAAAGATGAGAAATTAGTAATTTGAAAAATGGAATTCATGGTAATCTTAATCTTTATATTTAGATTCGCACGACTATAATAAAAATCAATCACACACCTTGAAGGCAAATTTCTGTTAGAATATAGGCTATATACACGGGTATTATTTGGAAACAGATATCATATACAAACGTTAGAACTTATAACTAAAAAGGAATACGCTCAGAAAAATTAATGTCAAACATGTGCCAGAATAAGCTTATTTTTTTATTTTATTTTTATTTGTATTTTTTTTTTAACTGGAAATTACGATCAAAGTGTTTGAAATGAGATTTCCTAAACGGAACAATTTTGTTTCTTGTAATTTATATTAGAGTTTCTAATCATTTATATTAGTTTATAATCATTTATATTAGAGTTTCTAATCATTCTAATCATTTATAAGAGTTTCTTATCATATATATTAGAGTTTCTTATCTTTTATATTAAGATTTCTTGTCATTCGTAAGGGTTTATAATTTTAAGGAAAATTGCCATTTAAATTAGAGTTTCTTATCATTTAAAGTTTGTTGCGTTTCTAATCAAGAAATTAGAAGTAAAACCTAAAAATTACCTAATGCATGGAATATGAAATGGAAGATCAACTTATCGGTCTCGACTTTGAAACATCAATTTTATTGGTTGTCATATCCAGGTTCTGGATTTAAACATTTTACATACATAAATACATATATACATTATCGGTCCAGATTAAGGGTCGAAAACTGCGTATTTTGTCGATCAAATTTAAAATTCATCGATCAAAAAACTTGTTTAAAAAAAAAAAAAAATTGTTACATATCGATATTAATCCTTTTATTCGTAATTTGAATTGGATGATTCGAAATTGTCAATAAAGCCCACAAATATAAATTGATTTTCCTTCGGACACTTTTAACAGCTTCTAAATATATAAATATAATATAATACCATTATAATATTATTGATGTAAATACACATGGATCCACAATAAGATTATAATTGCATGTGGGTAAGTACGAGTAACAAACAAACCTGTTCAATGAAAGTGAGACTAATTAGGGCATCTAGACCATCTAGAACCCAATTATTAAATAAGATTGGTTAAAAACATCATTCCGCCCGTTAGTATTTTGCTGAAAAATAGAGATTAAAATCAGAGCAAAGATTGATTAATATTTAGTCACTTTCTTGAAATATCCCGTCGATATTTGACTTATAAGACGGAAACGATAAACAAATTATAAATCATTAATTAATGATAAATAATAACATACGTAATTGTTGATATTTTTTAGAGATATCCGTTAACTCTTTATCATTATATTAGTAAATATCCGCAGAAAAATAGTAACTAAAATATACCGTAGATACTCTTTGAGTCGAGACCATGCATGTGTATTTGTTATTACATTAATGTTTACATTTCTTATTATTATTCAAATAATAGTATAAACTATTTTTCCAGACCAGACTGCGTATGCAAAGCGTGCACCTGCGTCTAGCCCTCGGTTGTTTTCTTTTTATAATAAACAATTAATAAAATAAAATAATTAGAATATCCAAATAAAGAAAATTGTAACCAAATTGTCAAATCAATGAAAAAATGATGATCCTGTTTGATATCAGTATTGTAATTATATTATCGTTATAATTATATATTATTATTATTCATAATATAATTGAAAAAAAACTATTTATAATCATGCATTCTCCCCCGAAGGTTTCTTATTTTTTTTTCTTCAACAAAATAATAAATAAACAAAATATTTTTTTCTAAACATTTTTCTATAAAGTGTCTTTGTTTAAAAAAATTTGTGTTATATTAAAAAGTATGTCACTTGATTCCAGCTTTATTAGACGTTCGAGTATATATACACCACCAACACAAAAAAAGTCTTTTACAAAACCATCGCAAATAATGATCCGTGAAAATAATCCTTTATTCAAAGAATGGATCGAAGATCTGACTGACTATTCTTTTCACTCATCCAATATAACTTCCATAACACCTTCATCCCCTCCTCAATCACCTAGTGAGTTATTAATAGCTACCGCATTTGCAAATTCTCTATATGATAACCAAACTTCAAATGTGGATACTTTGATGCCTCAAATACATTTATTACAATCTTCAAATAGTGGTGTGAGTCGTGGTGACCTTACTCCTCAACTTAGTACTGATGTTGCTTCACGATCAACCTCTATTGAATCTTCGATTTCAAATACTCTTCATCCTTCAAAGTCCACTCCCCCTCAATTTATCTTTAAAAAACCTTCTCAAAAAAAATCTAGCCTATTTGGTGATTTAAAACGTGTATTTAAAACTCCTTCAAGATCAAATTCTCAAAAATCTTTTTCAACACATAAAAATGTTCAAATATCAAAACATGGCAAATGGGGTAAACATTTGGGTTCTGGTGTTGGCGGCTCTGTACGATTATTTCATCGTTCATCCGATAACAAAGAATTTGCCATAAAACAATTTAGAATGCGTTATAATTACGAATCAGAAAAATCTTATCGTAAAAAAATTTTAGCTGAGTTTTGTATCGGTTCAACTCTTCAACACGAAAATATAATTAAAACTTTAGATATTATACAAGAAAATGATCGGTTATACGAATTAATGGAATATGCTCCTTATGATTTATTTGAAACTGTTATGAGCAGAAAGATGTGTGAACATGAGATAGCTTGTTGTTTTAAACAATTAGTAAATGGTGTAAATTATTTACATGAAATGGGAATTGCTCATAGAGATTTAAAGTTGGATAATTGTATGTTGGATAAATCAGGAATTCTAAAACTTATCGATTTTGGTTGTTCTACTGTCTTTAAAAATCCTTTTGATAATAAAATCATATTTTCTAAAGGTATTTATTTCTCTTTTCATTATTAATTAATAATCTTTTTTATTCTTTATTCATATTACAGTATCTAATCTTTTTATTATTATTAAATTTTATTAGGACCACACGGATCCGATCCATATATTTGTCCAGAATCCTATAATCGAACTCCCTACGATGCTCGATTAGCTGACATCTGGTCAATCGGAATAATATTCATTTGTATGCATATGGGTAGATTTCCTTGGATGATTGCGAAATCATCTGAATCTTCCTTTAGAGCATTTCTTTCGAATCCTGATAAATTATTTAAAAGAATTCCAGAAAATTCAAGACCATTAATCAAAAAAATGCTTCAAGTAAATGTAGAAGAAAGAGCTACTATGAAAGACATTTTTGAAGATGAATGGTTTAGAGGAATTGAAGTTTGTACTAGTCATGAACAATCAAAAGGACATGTACATCATTTGTTAGAAGGACGTGAAACTGAATAGCATATACTTTCTTATAAAAAAAAAAAAAAAAATCATTATATAGTATATATAAATTAGCAATAGTCTTGTATATATTTTTCATTGTAAAATAATAAAAAATATTGCTCATTCGAATTTTTTCATTTACAATCTATAATCTCGGTTTTTCGATCTTTTTCGATTTTTTTCGATCTCAATTTCTTTTTCCAGATAATGATTTACCGTTACCGTTACAGTTATCAATTTTAATACATAATAGCCGAATCATGTGATTTTCGGATATACTGAAATCCCATATATCATATATTTTTATCGTATGTTCGTAAGTATTCCGAAATTTCCGTTATTTATTTTAATTAATTGGATTCCACGCTCTTATGCAACCATCCACAAAGACTTTGAGATTTGCCATGTTAACGAAATATTTATTGTACGACAAGCAATAACAAAGTGTCTTGTCAAAAAAATTTTTTTTTAAAATGATCTCATTAAAATTTGTAAATTTTATTTTTTAATAATAAATGATTAATAATTTGAAATCTATGGATCCTTTAATTTTTCTAATTTTGTTAAGACTGTTCCGATTACGGGATATATCATTTATATAATCAAAACGATCAAAACTTGATTTTGATAAAGCGGGAGGTTTAAAGAGGGATTATCGTTATGTTGAAAATAATTTTAGCTTTCTAAAAATAATATAAAAAGTAATATTTCAGATGCTGATGATGATGATTATATTAATAGTAGTGATAATATAGATGAATTTATGATAAATTTAAATCAGATTTTTGAAAAATTAATAGACAATATTCATGTACTTGACATAAATAGTAAGGAAACTATTCTAACACTTATAGATATATTTAATTTTAAAGCTGTTGAAAAATCGTTAAATTTTTATATTAATCATTTATCATATGTATAAATTTAGAGCTACTTTAAATGTTATTGAAAAAAATGATAATAAATAAAGTTCTATCTTATCAAATTATACGTACACAAAAGATATGCTTTATTCATAGTAAAAAAAAATTTAGTAAATAATTTATATAGTTACTGTTCTATAAATATACATATATTCACACTTCGGACAACAGTTTGAAGGAATTTGATTTGAATCAGTAAATTCTGAAAATTAAACAGGTCTGTAAAAAGATTTAAATTCGTTATCGTTATGTTCAAATGCTAATTATCAACCCTGGTCGTTTAATATATTAATCTCATTTACAGGTTTGATCATAAATCTAGTAATTATTTTTTGCATAAATCAATTTTTTTTTTGTGTTGAATTTAGGTATATTTCATTGTGACTTAAATTCCTATTAATGAGCGTGCTATAGTTGTCATTTATTAATCTGGCAATAATGTTTACGCTTATTACTAAAAGTTGAAATATAAATACGTATACGTATCCATATATTTATTAATAAAAATTGCCACTTCGCAAACAAGAAAAAAAAAAATACTCATCTTCCGAAACCGTAACTTTAAAATTCTCTTATTTTAATAAAATACCATTTAGTATATGATATCCGAGCACTAGTTCAAAAAAAATGTTCATACGACTGCGTAGCACTAATACTAAAGCTGCGCCATACTGTGCCACACATTACTAAGTAGTTAATAACTCGGGCTAATAATTATTAACTACGTATTATTAATTATTAATAATGCGGGAGGTCCCATCACTAAATTTATATATAAAATTTCATAAAAAAATATTAATTTATAAAAAAGTTTTATACGTATTAACAAAAAAAAGTTTCTAAGAATAAGTACTATTATCTTATATGTTCTTAATTTTATAGGGAACTTAACGATGCGTACTCTAGAATCAGTGTTGTCAAATGTCTTGCATATTAGTAATTGTCGCATCCATTTATTATATTATTTATTACATCGAGTAATAAATTATAT